TCCTCATTTGGCTACTTCGTACAGCAACGTCGGTCAAGTGTATAATAACATGGGTCACTACTCGAAAGCACTTGAATTTTACGAAAAATCACTTAAAATTAAAGAAAAAGCTCTGCCTTCGAATCATCCAAATTTGGCTACATCATACGGCAACATTGGTCAAGTGTATAATAACATGCGTGACTACTCGAAAGCACTTGAATTTTACGAAAAAGATCTAGAAATCACAAAAAAAGCTCTGCCTTCGAATGATCCAAATTTGGCTATTTCGTACAACAACATCGCTGCAGTGTATTATAACATGGGTGACTACTCGAAAGCACTTGAATTTTACGAAAAATCACATCAAATCAACGAAAAAGCTCTGCCTTCGAATCATCCTGATTTGGCTACTTCATACGGCACCATCGGTCAAGTGTATAAGAACATGGGTGACTACTCGAGAGCACTTGAATTTTACGAAAAATCACCTAAAATCTTGGAAAAAGCACTGCCTTCGAATCATCCCTCATTGGCTACGGCGTACAGCAACATCGGTTCAGTGTACCGCAACATGGGTGACTACTCGAAAGCACTTGAATTTTACGAAAAATCACTTAAAATTAAAGAAAAAGCTCTGGCTTCGAATCATCCCTCATTGGCTACGTCGTACAGCACCATTGGTCAAGTGTATAATAACATGGGTGACTACTCGAAAGCACTTGGATTTTGCGAAAAATCACATCAAATCTATGAAAAAGCGCTGTCTTCGAATCATCCCTCATTGGCTACTTCATACAGCAACATCGGTGGAGTGTACAGCGACATGGGTGACTACTCGAAAGCACTTGAATTTTACGAAAAATCACACAAAATCTACGCAAAAGCTCTACCTTCGAATCATCCCTCATTGGGCACTTCATACAGCAACATCGGTACAGTGTACAGCGACATGGGTGACTACTCGAAAGCACTTGAATTTTACGAAACATCACATAAAATCTGGGAAAAAGCTCTGCCTTCGAATCATCCTCATTTGGCTACTTCGTACAGCAACGTCGGTCAAGTGTATAATAACATGGGTCACTACTCGAAAGCACTTGAATTTTACGAAAAATCACTTAAAATTAAAGAAAAAGC